GGCCAGGAGCCCCTAGTAGCGTCCATGCTCCTAGTAGTAAGGCCAGGAGCCCCTAGTAGCGTCCTTGCTCTTAGTAGTAAGGCCAGGAGCCCCTAGTAGCGTCCTTGCTCCTAGTAGTAAGGCCAGGAGCCCCTAGTAGCTTCTTATTCTTCTTCTTCTCATTCAAACTATTTCAAACCGCTTCACCGGGTCCGCTGCTTCGCTCATCTCGCGAGCGATTGCGAGGCTCAATCGATCTAGCCGCGGAGAGCGTGGCGAGCATGGCAAGCGTGACGTCTTGCAAAAGGAAAACCGAAAACCACTCAGTGAAAACCGCCGTTTGTGTGTCGAGACTCAACGTTTTGCCTGTGTTCTGAATCAAAAGTTGAAAAGGAACCCTTTTCGTCATAGCACCCTCACTTCTGGAGCCCCAACATGTTGAGAGGTCATGACTGTCAAGCATAAACATGTGTTCGTAAAAACGTGTCAACGGTTTCTTGTTGTCATATCTTGGAAACACAGTCTGTACGAGGTCCTTCATAAGGGGACTTGGAGGATAAGAAATGATGGGTGCATGTTCGTCTTTCTCCTTCACTGCCAGGGCAAGTCTAAACTGAAACATCCAGCTTCTCAGCTTCTTCATCTCCTAGTAACAAGTGCATCGCTACTAGTAGCAAAGGGCACTACTACTACTACTACTACTACTACTACTACTACTTGTTACTAGTAGCGATGCACCTTGTTACTAGTAGCTTCCTTATCTCCTAGCTTTACTTGGACTATCTTGATTAAAGGAATTAGCAACTCGAGCTCCTCACATGCCCCACGTTGGATCTTTTCTTTTTCAACTTCAATCTGAGATGTTCCCCGAACCTTGCCCGGCTATCGAAGTGGGGTCTCCGATATCGCCAACTGGAGACCTTCGCACAAAGTCGCTTTGAATAAGTAATGGCAAATGAAGCACAATTTCATTCTCTGAAACAATTAACTCTTTTTTGTGTGCAACAAGTTGCAATAATTACAGAGTTCATATGCACATACCACAAAGTGAATGGAATATAATGAAGACACGTTCTGACAATAACTCAGCATCCCAACGGATCTGGAAGACCGTCGAAAACTCCGGCGCCTGAAAACGACTGTCTTGCGAACATCTCACTTCGTCGCTTCGAGCCTGGTGGAAAAGAAAAGTTTTTCATCTGCGCTTTTTGTATTTTTTGGGAGGCCGAGTAGGCCGAAACAATTAACTTTTGGAAGTAGCTGGGAGCTAGCAGCTAACAGGTAGTAGCTACTACGGGTTGGGACGAGAAAGGCTGGGGATTTCAAACAAGTTCCCGCACCTGAGGTCAACAAGAGAGGTGGAGGAGACAGAGACAAGCATGGAAAAGCAATCTGAGGGTGGAGGAGAGCTTCCCTGATTTGGTTCCTAGATGCTTTCAGAACTTAGGCGATGGCACTAGAATTAAGTGTGTAGTAGTTCCCGGCTCATGTGTGTGAGAACACACCAGATTTCGGTTTCGGTTTATATAAATGAAGAGCAGGTTGGCAAAGCTGACTCGACGACTGAGCATGTGGTGCCCAGCAGGATGGCTAACTGTGCCGTCAGGACTTATGCGGCACAGATTTCTCCAGTGGAACCAGAAGTTCATAAACTTGTCAGATCAACGGGTTTGCTCCATCAGCACGAACACAAGGGTGGCAGAGGAACATCAAACTAAACAAGGTGCCGCATCCCCATCCTTAGATACTCCAAACTGAGGTTGAATGGGAGATGATTTGCCAATTCGCCAGAAAACCTGTGATGGAAGGGTTGCAGTTGCTTCTTGGTAACGTGACACCGTGGCCGGGCCACCGTCCACTCGGCCAAAGATCCCATGCAGGCGTTGTTGGGCAAGTTTGATGCCAGCTATGCAAAACGTGCGGGCAAACTCGTCTGGAGCACGATAGCTGATGCCAAAAAGAGTATTCTGATGCCACTACAATAGCTGATGAACTCTCTTGTAATTCGAGACTCTACAGGCCGGTTCAGGACGAACGACCAACTACTAAGTGACAGGAAGCAGCAGGAGAAAGGACGCAGTAAGGAGAAGCTTCCTTCAAGCATGAAAAAGACAGGTTTATGATAAAAAGATCCGAATGTAGTTTCTCTAAAAATCTAAATTTATTTCAGGTGTTTGCATTCCTTTATTTTATTCTTTCCTGTTTAACGTGTCTCGGGGTGTTGTCTTCGGTTTTGTCTGGAGTCACCATTTCTTGGACCCATGCCGAGCCATGCCGGGAGATCGCGGAACGGAGAGAACTGAAAACTCAAATAAACATCAAGTGACATGAAAACTTCCATATGTGGCATACGAGTCATATGAAATGTTGCATGAAATGTTTCAAGTGTTCAGATCAAAAACCGTCTAAAAGCCTTTGCTATTCATACTGTGTTCCGCCGGGCGTCTTTCTTAGCTCTTCTCTGTGTGCTTGAGACTGTAAGGCAACAACGACACACATCTGGAATGCCTTCCCCATAAAATCTGCACATCTGCAATGTGTCCTTCACTTGTTTCCTTCCACATCAAGAATAAATGCAATGTGTTTGTATCATGTTATGTTTGTCTCTTGTCTTGAAGAATGACCGACGCAACTCACAAGGACCGTCGGACCGTTGAGAGCCCGCAAGTTTGTATAGTCCGCGATGCAAGTCTTGTCACGTGCTTGTTGCTAGTAGCGTTCTTGCCCCTAGTAGTACGGCCAGGAGCCCCTAGTAGCGTCCTTGTTCCTAGTAGCGGTGTCAGGAGCCCCTAGTAGCTTCTTGTTCCTAGTAGCTTGTTGCTAGTTGGTCATTCAAATCCAATTGTTTCCCACTGACTTGTTGCAACGGTCACGCTCACACCAGAACTTGTTGCCACAGTGTCCCAAAAGAAAAACTTCAAGGTGACACTTTATCATTGGTTCGGTTCGATGCGTGTTTCATCCACCTCTCAATGAATCATACACACTTGAGGGATTTCCATTCAAAAGCTGCCCACGCACTTTTGAACCCAGAGGCTTAATCTGCTCTGCGATCCCAAAACCGCGACCAATGGACCAAGTACTGTACAGTGTGCCTGCCTCAGGTGATACAATCAAACATGTCACAAAACAGTGAGAACCGGGCACACAATGTTCGCTACTAGTAACAAGTGCCACGCTACTAGTAACAAGTGCCTTACTAGTAGTAACAAGAAGCTATTAGTAAAACTTCCCACAATTGTTACGTTCGTAGCTTCTTTGCTACTACTAGTAAGGCACTTGTTACTAGTAGCGTGGCACTTGTTACTAGTAGCTTCTTTGCTACTAGTAGTTTGTTCCTAGTAGTAAGGCCAGGAGCTACTAGTAGCGTCCTTGCTACTAGTAGCGATGCCCTTGTTACTAGTAGCTTCTTGTTCCTAGTAGTAATGTGCTGAGAACCGGGCCTCGGGCTTTGAGAACTTGCATCAGATCTTCTCCTGAGAGAAAAAAGGAGGATGGTGAGTGAACGAAATCGAAAGCATGGAGCAGAGGCGAAGGGCATGTGAGCATGGTGAGCTCACATTGTTTTCGAGGGGTGAGAAGACAAAGTGAAACACGTTGCACAGAGAGATGAAGTAAGGTATGAGGTCAGACAAGGTGAGGGGTGCATGAGCTGCGCATCAGCATTGCGTTGTATGCCGGCTTTGCAGCATGCTTCGTGACTTACAAAGAGAAACTCTGACTTTGGGGGGCTTTAGGCGAATAAGCCCTAATGATCGACGGCTCTGTGCCTCCAAATAGCTTCGTCCAGACATGATTCAACCCTAGCCCCCTTTCCTTTCCTGCTTTCAAATCCTCAATAAGCATGCAAGTATATGCACTCTCCATTGGCATATGCTTTTCGTAAATATGGCTGGTCAACATGATGGTCTGAAGACTTCTTAATGATTTGTTTCCTAGAATTTGGGGAAAATATAAAGTTTCCTTGGACTCTCTCGTCAATCAAGCAAGAGAGGCAGGGTCGATTTGTCGAGCGGACCAGCAAGCATGCAAGCATGGAAGGCATGAATGCAGAGTATGTGCCTGTAAACTGTGGACAGCCAAAGTGGGAAAAATTGCAGGTGGTGGATGAAAAATGGCCTCCAACCTACTTGCGATGGCCTCCAACCTGATAGCGATGGCCTCCAACCTGATAGCGCTGGCCTCTAACCTGATAGCGATGGCCTCCAACCTAATAGCGATGGCCTCCAACCTAATAGCGATGGCCTCCAACCTAATAGCGATTGCACTGACAAGTAAGAAGTGCGGCTTTTGTAGCATCGCCCATGTTGTTCTTGATGTCACCATAAATATCTAGTGCTGGACTGTAACGGGGTTGCGAAGCCTTTCAAGTAAGCAAGCAGTGGTGCGCTGAAATATGTGGATAGCGGAAAGCTCATGAAGACACAAGCAAGATACTAAACCTCAACTGAAGATAACTGAACAAGGTGTCGACAGTTGACAACAGTTTCACAACACGTCCAATAGAAGTTCTGATAGCCCTTCTCGACCACATACAAATACAACAATGCAGAAGACCAGAAAGTGAGTGTCATTAGTTCATTGTCGCAGCAAAATGACCCATGTTAGTGGGAGCTGATGTTGTTCGCTTCTGCAGCTTTACCTAAGACTTTCGAACAATCTTGACTTCTGCCAGCACCCGAAATCAAAAGCCCCCACCAGCCGAAAAACAGGCCATAGAGGAGACAGCACAACTAGAGACAGGAAAATGTCAAACTCTTGCGAGTGGGTGGAACGGCCCTACCTAGTCTTTCTCGATCTAAAGAAAGCATAGACACTAGGTTGGAGGCCATCGCCATTAGGTTGGAGGCCATCGCTATTAGACATCTATAAACATCTTCAAACATTGGCGATTTAATCCATGAAACTCTGATGTCTTCAACACGCCAGTACCCGAAAGGTGCAAATCGCCTCAAGGGCAAAGACCGCACAAAACTGGTTCAGAAAACAGAAGTTTTACAGAAACAAAAGGGGGAAGAAATAAAGAAACGTCTAAAGAAGAAGAAACATGAATGAAGTTTCGAACCTCTGCTGCGATGGACCTAGACAAGCTCGGGACTAGGAGAATTGAAAGGCAACCGGCTAAAAAGTGTAAAATGCTTGGCGAATCGATTTAGAGACCACGATGAGCCTGAAAAACTGTTGTTTTCACGGTAGACAGGCAACGGATCCAGATTAGGCACATTGGCACACTACCAATGATATCCTGTGTCTAGAAAGTGGCGCGGCCAAAATCTTAGGAGTAGCTTTCCACAAGCCCTCCAACAAGGTGTCCAAACCCGAAGGCAACAAATCCCCGTGTTCAGCAGCCAAAGGAGAGAGGTCAAAGATCAAGAATGCATCCTTACCAGTATCAGCGACACGTCGATCCTGAATTTGCATTAACACGTCGATCCTGACTGGTGTTTGCCCCCTATTGCGCGTAACAAAACGTTAGCACAAAAGGCTCGGTGCGTGAGCTGAATGTGTTCCGAAGACCGAGGACAAAAAAAGTGCGACGGACAAAGGCTCAAAGTCTCTTTTTTGCGTTTGGTGTGATTTGTGCGATTAGTGTTCTGTGCGCGTGTGGGTTTTGTGTGCTGCGTGTGCGCGTCTGGACTTACTGTGTTTGTGCTCAAGAGTAAATTGCTCCATCTCTTCAAAAACTCCCTCTTCCTTACCACAGCTACTAGGAACAAGTGCATCGCTTCTAGTAACAAGTGCCTTACTAGTAGCAACAAAAAGCTACTACTAGGAACAAAGCTACTAGGACTTTCTCCTCCACCGCTTCGATGACCTCTTGGGTGGTAACGTTCACCGGCTCCCAGCCCTGCCCTGCTAAATGCCTCCGAACGTCAAATCATGTGAAATCATATGTTCCGATGCATTCTGAAAGCTTCAGGCATTTAGTGTCTTGATTTCAGTGTTGAGCAATCGGAAATTGCAAGCCTCTCCACCGCGTCGGCCCAGCCATTCTCCTCTGATCCTTGCAAACCCAGAATGTACACGTGCATTGGCGAGAGAAAATGCTCTTGGACTGCTCACTTGTGCCAAGCTACGCTGATGTTTGGCGTCGTCCAGTCTCTCCAGCACCTGACAGGATGTAGAAACATGGCAGCGGACATGACAAAAAAATGCGACTCCTTCCAACCTAATAGCAATGGCCTCCAACCTACTAGCGATGGCCTCCACCTTAATAGCGAGGGCCTCCAACCTACTAGCGTTTAACTAAGCAAAGTGTGTGAAAGTAAACAAAAGAGTCAATTAAGATTACGTGAGCTGAGAGTTCAACTTCCTGCACGAAGAGTTGTGTTGGTTATGGGTTCTCAGTCTGTGGATTAGCCCACAAAATTCAGAGGTTCGCGAGGTTCATTTTAGCCTGGCCAAGGCCAGTAACCTCAACATTGACCCCTTTCTTCAACCGTCAGTCCCTCCCTTTTCACCAGTTGGCCGATTCACTGGGTCAATTGTAGCCTGACCCGATACTGCGACCTTCAATCTGGCGATCACTTAATTAAGTAGGCTTCTTGCTCCTAGTAGTAAGGCCAGGAGCCCCTAGTAGCGTCCTTGCTCCTAGTAGCGATGCCCTTTGCTACTAGTAGCTTCTTGCTCCTAGTAGCTTCTAGTTACAAGAAAGCTTTATTGTTACTACAGGGAAAGCGATTCCCAGTGAAACGATTCCCAGTCTGACTCTGCCCCAACAAGTTCAGGAAGTCTAGCCGACATGCTCTCTGTGTCTTGAGCTGAACTCAAAGGACGACTATTGGGTTAAGCTTCACTTCTTTTTGCAAACTGAGAGAACATGCATTACGGTTCACATCAAGTTACCGAGACAAAATAGAATAAAGAATATACTGATAGAATGAATAGTTACAGCAGTGGAAAGAGGAGTATATAAGTTACTAGGAACAAAGGGCATCGCTACTAGGAGCAAGGACGCTACTAGTAGCATTTTTATTACTAGTAACAAGAAAGCTACTAGGAACAAAGCGTACTTTATTCTATGTCCGTCTCTTTTCTCTTGGATTTGACAAGGGAGGCACAGAAGGTGATGGCCCCTCCCAAGACCAAATGGACCAACGCAAAGCTCAATTCTTGACCATCAGATTCTTTTGCGCCCGCTCCCTCCCCCTCCCTACTCAATTAAGAGGCGTCTAATTAATTTAGCAAGGGCCTAATGAGCTAGTATCTTACTAGTACGCTACTACCCACTGGACGCAGGATAGCTCACGCACTATCCATTTGGTTCCTAGAATTTTAGGGAAACTTGACTATAGTAGACCTTTGTTAACTATATTCACACCATCAGCGATACGTGTCTTCCCTCAAATCGCAGCATGAGCGCAGTGCACCTTCCTGAAGTGAGACATCTTTGTCTCGCGTTCGTTTTTGAAGGCGTTCCTTGCAGCTTCTTTGGCCTCAAAACTGAAATGAACCAAAAAGAGCAAACAGTCTTGGACGCCAAGTCCAAAGTAGAGTCAGAACGGCCATGGCAAATCTAAAGCATGAAATGATATTCCATCAACTTCCCATCGCCTGGTCGTCAAGGTGATCGTACTTCTTGGAGTACTGCTTCACATTTTTCCTGAAAGGAAGAAACGAGTTCCGGTGAAGTACAGCACAACTCTTCAAAAAAATCAACAAGAACTAGATTTTTCAATTATCTCTTGTTTGTTTGTTCCCACTTCTCAAACTCGAACCTGATGGACGACTGCTTGGCCCTGGGCTTCTGCACTGATGACGACTGCTTCGGAAGAAAACATCCGTTGTAACAGAATCGAGCTCCCAACTGTGACAGGAGGCATGGTGGGTGTGGCCTCCAAGCCTCAGTGGGGATCTCCAAGGACTGTGCATTTTGTCAAGGCCTTCACAAATATTCCCGCACAACAGGTCAAGTTCCCCGGGAATATTTGATTCGCGAGGGTTGTTTGAGTTCTTCGAAGCGGCCGTATGTAACATCCACACTATTCCACTGTCCAGCAGAATGAAGCCAGGGTCTAGACACACAAGATTCGGCTTGGGAGTATATGTGTAAACATATGCTGTATAATCATGTGCGTGGAAACATGGGTTGGTCTTTCCACTGCGAAACCTGTGCTTCGACTCTTTCAAGGCCAAGGATTTCAAACGCTAGACTGAAGACACTGAAGCAAAAAATACTCGCAAGACCTGAACACCTACTCCATTTAGTTTACTCGTTGCGATGCCCTTATTGCTAGAAGCAAAAAATACTCGCAAGATTGATCCAGAAACACAGAAACGATCTGACATGGATTGGACTTGCATGTTGTAGTCAATCCTTCTGTAAAGCATAGCGTATAAGTGATTCAGGAATCTTGGCGGAGATCGGAATAAAGAGAAAAAACTGGTGCTTTATGCTTTGGAGTTGGTTGCTGTCGCTATTTGCTGCGCTTTCTGCTGGCGGATGTCTGAGTTTCTGCTCTTGGTCGCCCACATCATTTCTTCATCTTAGCTTTTCATGTTTCGTCCAGGCTTCGTTCATGCTTATTGCTTTTGTGTTTCCTTTCAGACCTTTCTTCCTTTTCACCAGTTTTTTTCGCGGGCCATGCACGACCCGCTGAGATACATCGATCTTGCCTTGTTAGTGAGGATACCAAGTGGTACCATGTTTCATGATTCCAGGCTGATTCCTACATCCAACCATCTACAGCACGGTTGTCCACTCGTGTACGTGGATTGTCGCCGCACTTGCCTCGCCGAACTTTGCCAACTTGAACCTTTAAGGGGGGGTAGGCCGCTACAGGTAGACAGTAGTAGCTACGGAGTCGCTAGTAGCTACAAGAACGCTACTACCGACAGGACGCAGGATGGCTCACGCTTCAAGGAAGCTACCCCCGCCGCCCTAAGGGAGCTTCCTTGAAGAAGCGCTCGCACTATTCATTTGGTTCCTAGATTTTTGGGGAAACTTGACCTTGAGATGGGAGGTGTCTTTCCTTAAAAATCCAAGAAACGAATCATTTGTGCGAGCGCTATCCTGTGTCCATATTATGAGCTTGAGTAGCTTGAGTAGCTAGGAGCATACTCCGTTACTTATGTATAATCAAATAGGAGCGGGCTTCAAAAAGAATATACAAATATGTTCAATCCACAACATGTTGGAGGCTATCTCTAGTAGGTTGGAGGCCATCTCTAGTAGGTTGATCTGGTGGTTCCAAAGTAGCAGGGTTTCACAGTCAAAGGTTCCAAGGCACAGATGAAACTTGACCGACGCACTGCCAAGACACCACTGAGATGCAAGACACAGCAGAGACACCAACAGATATGACCGGGCACCACAGAGAAAGGAAAAGGAATGAAACGATTGCCGACACAAGGCACTTGCCTGATTACTTACCTGCTTGCTTGCTTGCTTCCTTACTTTCTTACTCACCCCGCGACCATGTGATGCAGGCTTCAGTGGAGCCGGTCTTACGAGTGAGTGTCAGCCCAAACCATTGTACAGTCAGTGGAGAAACGCTATTAGGTTGGAGGCCATCGCCAGTAGGAGCAAGGGTGCTGCTCCTGGTCTTACTACTAGGAGCAAGAAGCTACTAGTGACAAAGGGCATCGCTACTAGGAGCAAGGACGTTATTAGGTTGGAGGCCATCACTAGTATGTTCTATTTTCACAAGTCCTTGTGCAAAATTTCGAGGCTTGGCAGTCAGATTCATATTCCTTTCAGTGGATGCATGCCTTCGGTCGTCAAGGGCTCAAGCAATTTGCCAAAGCTTCTCTTTCTGCTGCCGGTGCAAAACCCGGCCCTGGCACGAGCAAAAAGGCCTTTTTTGCATCCATGTATCCCCTGTTCGTCTTGAATCCAAGATTCCAACTGGGTCAAGATTAGCGTTAGTTTGTGCTGGAAAGTCATAGAGACCATTGCAAGGCTTTGGCCACAGTTGTTACAGGTGGCTCGTATGAACCTTTGAGGTTTGGAGGTGCTCAAGAGGTCTTGAAAAAAGATAATAATAATTGCCTCCAACCTACTAGCCTCCTTGTTACTAGTGGCTTCTTGCTCCTAGTAGTAAGGCCAGGAGCCCCTAGTAGCGAACATTGCTCCTAGTAGCGATGCCAGGAGCCTCTAGTAGCGATGCCCTTTGCTCCTCTGTTCATCTTTGGAGACTTTTCAAGATTCTCTGAACAGTTCGACATGTCCGTGCCTGGAAGGTCCAAATCGCGAATCCAGCCTCCATGCTGTACTTGAAGCCACCAATCCTTACATAGAGAAAACACCGAAAGACAAGTCTGAAGGCTCTGCATTTTCTGCTTTGTGGGCAGGGTAGGCCTAAGGAAGCATCGGCTAAGCCCTTAAGTGAAGGCTGTAGAGCTTGGGTTCTTTGCTGCTGCTGACTGTCTCTCAGCCCCAATCTCATTTTGCATCGGCTGCGTCACTGCAGTGATGACATACCTGGCGTAAGGTGTGGAATGTGCACAAGGTCTGGCGTCGTTCTGCCAATTGCGCAGTTGGTGTACTTGAGGGCTGGGAAGAAAACAAAGGTGTACAAAAAAGCTGCTGAGATAAAGCTTTGGCGAGGAGAGCCAGCAAGTTGCAATAGTTGCTCAGCGATTGCGTGCAATTTCATCTTTATAAATGACTTTACACTGAAAGCAGCACAAGTGCAAAAGTGAAAGAGTCAAGGTAAAACAGCTCCAAAGCTTGATAGTTACGTCCAAATTGAAGATGCAAGTGACGGTCGGTCGGTCTGTCTCTAGGACAAAGGAAAAAAGTAATAATTGACAAAAGAGAAAGGAATATTAGTAAGAAGAACGCTACTAAGAACAAAGGGCACCGCTACTAGGAGCAAGAAGCTACTAGTAGCTCCTGGCCTTACTACTAGTAACAAGAAAGCTACTAGGAACAAAGAAGCTACTAGGGGCTCCTGACCTTACTACTAGGAGCACGGACGCCACTAGGGGCTCCTGGCCTCACTACTAGGAGCATTCTTACTACTAGTAACAAGAAGCGTTTGACCACAACACCGAACAACGGAGCCTAGAAGAAGGATCCCATTGCACATCTGTGAGCATGAAGTGCTCATCCTGACGTCTAGCACGGCATGTTCTTTCATATCCGCCATCAAACAAGGAAACCAAAACAGGAGAAACTGCTTCTTTTACATGTAAAAAATGCTCTTCGGTTGGAGGCCATCGCTATTAAGTTCCTTAGAGTCCTTTTCTTGAAGTCAGTTTTACATGTAAAAATATACAGGATAAACTGCTTTATGTTGCCAAGTCCTTGTGCAAAATTTCGAGCCTTGGCAGTCAGATTCACATTCTAAGCATACTAGCACACACTCTGTGGTTGTATTTCTGTCGGTTTTTCTTATACCCTGAGATCATCTTGGATCAATCTTTTTCCATCTATCCTATATAGTGTTCTTTCTCTTTAGATGGTTCTGCCAAGACTCTTGTTATCGCTCGTCATGCCTCCGAACAAGAGGTCTCCATGGCCTACTGCTGCACACACCTCACACCAAGTCATGGAAAACTTGTCAAATCTGCGAGGATCTCTTCGAAGCATGAGCAGAGAGTGCATCCACTGAAGAGTGCTTAGCTAGAAAGCTACTTGAGCTCACCTTTCGGCCGACTTTTCCTTTAGAAGAAGAAAGCAAACAGTCAGAATATAGTATATATTACTACTAGGACCTGGCATCACTACTAGGAGCAAGGACGCTACTAGGGGCTCCTGGCCTTACTACTAGGAGCAAAACGCTACTAGGAGCAACATAAAGCAACAATAAAGGAAGTCTTCACATGCTCCAAGATGCGAAGTATTGGCCCTCTGGTGCCCAGAAGAACTTGTTGTAACTATTGGACCTGAGATGACTTGCCATAGAAGAACTGATCATGCTGTGTTTGAACCAGTGAACCTAATACCGATGGCTTCCAACCTAGTAGCGATGGCCTCTAACCTACTAGCGATGGCCTTCAACCCAGGACGGCTCAGAGACTTCGTTCAACGTTTTCTTTCTTGGTGCGCAAGCAGCTCGGATGAGATTGGCTTTACACTCTTCAGACTGCTTATTGAATTCCCATCAAGTGACGGCAAATCGAAGAAGCTCAATGCTTCGCACTTCTCCTTGCCTGCGACAAAATTCTTGCAACAAGCCACCATCTTCTCATGAAATCTACTTTCATGAAGCTCATCGTTGTCTCAAGCCATGCCAGGATTGCTCAGACCATAGATGAACCTGGGCTCAAGGGACTCAAAAGGTCTGCAACCAGAAAACACCAGCTTGAGTCGCTTGAGTGGAGGACATCTTCGGATGATGCCCCGATTCATCGCTGGTCAGTAGAGCAAATCTATGCCTCGTCTCGCATCGTAAGGAACGACGATTTGGAACGACGAAACAAAGACAAGAAGCTACTAGGAACAAGTGCATCGCTACTAGTAACAAGTGCCTTACTAGTAGTAACAATGTTGCTATTAGAAACGATTTGTGGCGATTCGGTCTCCTCAGTTGCGAACCCCTTGGTCTCCCAGTGGAAACCACGCACCGAATCCTTGACCTACAAGGGAACCCACAAAGTTGACGTTCCCATTGGGCTTGCAATCGAGAAAAGGGAGCTAGTGAACGCGTACGATGCCATCATCCCGTGCGAGATATCTGCCTGAGATTGTCCTTTCTACTGCAACGCTTGGGGCATAGCCGACAAAATGTGAGGATCGCATACGATTCAAAACAAGAAAAACATCACCTCCACAATGTCGACAGGGATGTTTTTCTCCCGGATCCTGAAGATTTCAAGGTTGGTGGCACCTGGCCCACAGCTGAGAAGATTCTTCACACACTTCGCACACACAAGGCCGAGCACGCGGCCCTGTTCTCACTACGTTCTGCCCTTTGTCTTTTGTTGTGCATCACTTCTAGTAACAAGTGCCTTACTAGTAGTAACAAGAAGCTACTAGGAACAAGTGCATCGCTTCTAGTGCCATTGAGGCCTTTTGTTCCGACTTGGCGCGCCTTTCTTCTTCGTCTTGCTGAGCTTCGTGTTAATCAGGCACAAGTAGTCCCCTTCGGACTGCCAATGCATTGAAGCCTCAACCTGAAACTTGTAGCTCCACAACGACCACTCCACAAGGGCAATAAATTAACCAAAAACAAGGAACGACCGAAGTTTGTTGAGCAGTGCTTAAGATGTTCCTTGCTTTTAGGTTGGAGGCCATCGCTACTAGGTTGGAGGCCATCGCTAGTAGCCACACATGATGTTTTTAAGATGTCCCGTGTTTTCAAGAGATTATCTAGATCACCAAGAGCTCCAGCCTGAGTTCGCGATCTGGATGCAAGTTCACGGCGGGATGGGATCTCCACCAAAACTAGCCTCCCAAATAAACAAACGCTTTCGGGGTCCAAGAGAAGAAAACAAGAATAAAGAATGTCTTTGGGCCCGTTGAACAAGGATAAGGCCAAAAAGGGGAATGCAAAGGGACTTGTCTTCGGGACTTAGTCGCACCCTGGTTTTTCTTTGGGACTCAGTTACGTACAAATTCCAACTAGTGGGTTGGGGCCATCGCTACTAGGGTGGAGGCCATTCCTATTACTGTAGATATATGTGTAACAAACCAGGAACACAGTGCGACCCGCAGAGTCGAAGAAGGAACGCAGCCATGCTCAAAGAGCCTAGCTGGATTGTTCTCCCTCTCCAGGCACCAAACACTCAGCAAGTTGTCCTCACAAGGAGAAAATGGAGGGGTGAAAATAGGGTAGTGTCGTTCATCCTTGAAAAGAAAATGGCAGTGTCGCTCGTCCTTTGGCGACCACTGAAAGGTGCTCAAATCGGGAAACTTCAACGTCTTCTTTTTGCCATCCTGATTACGTCCATGCCAACACTTTGCGAAAGTTAACGCCTTCCTTCTTCCAATTTCTAAGAGAAATCATCACAACTTGGCCTCATCTCTGATGAGCTCAAATGATGCCTCGGAAGAAAGAATGCAGACAGGAACAGCGCACCGCACTTTGGAGTGCCGTGGCGAAGTGCTGAGCTGTCAGACACTCCAATACATCTCTGGGTCCAATGCTGTCTCACGCACCGAAATCGCAGACTCGCTGCACTCGGCGAAATACCTGGCATCACAGAGCCCGCGCTGCACACGCGCTGCGCAATGCATCCACTTCTGACTCGAAAGTCGCGCACTTGCCGTCATGGCTCCACAAGAAATGAGGAAAGTCGCCGCCAAGCGGAGCAACCTGAAATGACGTGCTAAAGGAGTCGGACCATGCAGTGTCGTGCAGGTGCTGCCAAGGACCGTGGGCGTGCGACACTTGTGCACACATTCGCCAGTGAGCACTCGATGGATTCTCACCTGCAAAGGTTCACAATTGTCATTGGCGAAAATGAACTGTTAGAGATTTCTGGGCTGTCTTTTTCTTTCAAGTCAGTAGCCAAGGAAGCAACAGCTTGAGAGTCGTTCTCCAAAGCATCTGTACCGTTCCAAGTCAAAGCATACTCCTGCAGCTGAAAGCACAGGAAATCTGGAGGTATGCATGAAAACACCCAACAAAGTGAACAAACAAAGCTCTCAAACAGAGTGCACATCCAATCTCTCCTCCGTTGGTGAGAACTCCAAGTGCTTCACTCCCTCAGAGTTCAGTCCCTCCAGCGCCCCTAGTAGTGTCCTTTGCTCCTAGTAGTAAGGCCAGGAGCCCCTAGTAGCTTCTTGTTCCTAGTAGCGATGCCAGGAGCCCCTAGTAGCGAACATTGCTCCTAGTAGCGATGCCAGGAGCCCCTAGTAGCGTCCTTGCTACTCCAGTGCGACTGTTTCAATTGAGAAAAGTCCAAACTGAGTCTTCAGCATCATGGGCAAACCGGATCTGGGCAGCATCTATGTGATATGAGACATTGCAGCTATTAAGTTGGAGTTGGAGGCCATCGCTACTAATCCAAATAGAAGTGTTGAAAACGATTGAAAATGTCATATCATTCTAGGCTATCTGAAACCGTGAGTGTCGGATAAGAAAGATTGCACAAACGGCTGCATGTGTGTGTGTGGCTTGCATACTATCCTCAGTAGGAGCGTGCCACTCCAACGAAGAACTCCTTCGCGTTAAAATAAAGGTTCTGAGGTTGGAGGCCATTGCTCTTAAGCTGTCGATCTACGCGTCAATCCCTGGGACCACGATGCACCGCATCTCGAGGACGTCGATCAGATCCAGGACGACTTTCAGCTATCTAGAGGCATCCCCAGCACCCGTCGAAGCCAGTCGTCGAGCCGAGTGGAGCTGCCTGCCACAGCCCACATCCTCAAACGTCCATGTCAGGCCAACAAAAAGCTCCTAGTAGCGTCCTTACTCCTAGTAGAAATGCCCTTTGTTCCTAGTAGCTTCTTGTTCCTAGTAGCAAGGCCAGGAGCCCCTAGTAGCGTCCTTGCTCCTAGTAGCGATGCCCTTTGTTCCTAGTAGCCTCCTCTTCAGGCAGGGGCAGACGGTACCGGAAGATTTGCACAAAGAGGCGGGGGAATGGGGTCGAGAAGTGACTGAGCTCCAGCAGGCTGAGTGGGTAGGACCGGGTAGGACCACGAGTCCGTAGCCAGACTCGCGATCCTCCGAGAACCACCAATTCGCCGCACTTCAAATGAGAAGAGAGCGGCAAAATCGGCAAGTCGGGAGCAGATGAAAAGCGGCAAGAGAACTTCATCATTCCTCGTGAGCTAACTTCACGATCATTTGCAACGTGAGCAATTGATAGGATAGAGCACTTTGATCCTCGGGAGGGTCTGCCATTTCCACACCTGGGTTCTGTTGCAGTGATCTTGGCTTTGCCTACAAGTCTACAGGTATACATTGTAAGCACATGTAGATATGCTATTAGGTTGGAGGCCATCGCTACATTAGAGGCCATCACTATTGGGTTGGAGGCCATTGCTAGTAGGTTGGAGGCCTGAGGCCAGTGCTATTAGGTTGGAGTAGATATGCGCTTTCAAGAGTCACCAGTCTGAAGCCGAGAGATGCCATGCCACATGGAATGTTGGAATGAAGAAGAAGGCTGTGTGTGTGAACTGTGTTAACAGCACTTGCAACTGAAACTACAAGCACTTAGAGTCAGAGTTTCTTTTGGCCACTCTCAAAACTCTTCTCGCTATCTCATGTTGTAAAGTTTCCTGATCTATCCAGATCTGCTTCAGTATGAGTCTCAAAACAAGTCTCGGCACAGCAAAGCAAGACGGAAAAAATTGCCCTGGAGCAGTGCCTTCTTCGTAAACTCTGGGCCTGCCCAGAGAGCCACTCCTGCAGGGTTCCCTTTCTGCAACATCCGACATCAAAACAGGAACAAACCTCACTGCAAAGTCTTTGAAAACATCGCTTTACGGATCCGGCCAAACGGTCCTTGCTTGTGAAATGTTGCCAAAAAGTGACCAAGCGGTGACCACCTCAACAAGACTGCAGACATGTTCACTTCAAAAATATCAGCGCCTGTAGATTAACTTCCTTCACCACCTCATGCTGCTAGGCTCTTCCTTGTTCCTACAACTATGCTTTCTTCTAGGAATCATTTCTTCTTACATTGAAGGTTCTTCAAGCTTCTTTCCATGGCAGAGAGAGAAACAGAAAAGAATGAACGACTTGCTCAACAGTCAAACTGGTCGTTCTGATTTGTCAGTCTAAGATTGATGCTCCACCTGCCAGTCACACCAAATCCTCAAAGCGCTCGCAGCTCACGTCGGGCGTGAACATGTGTGAAGGCTACCCTTCAACCAAGGGGATTTTCCACTGTGAATTATGGGACACCAATGTTCGTTTCAGAAAGCTTTGGCAAAGAACGCTTTGGCAAAGCCGACAAAGTGCCGAGTGACTTTCCCAAACGCTTTTCTCGTTCACCGCCGTAGGCCAAAGCAGGTTCTCCTTGTCGGGAAGAGCTCCCGAAAAAGAAATTCAAGCATGTGAAGCTGAAGCATAACCCCACAAAGACTGTCCAGGCACCAAAACATGAAAATTCTGATTGAATCCGCTCCTTTCTGGTTCACTGTGCTGACCCGACACTCACTGGAGTAACACATACATATAAACGGTCACGCATGTTTTTCAATCCACAAATGTACTTGTAATCCGACTGCAAACACAATGAAAATAGATCCAAAAAAGGGTGTACAATTTTGCATATGTAGGTCGCCAGTGCAGCACGCGCTTTCATATAAGCATCTTGCTTGCAAACGTGCAAGTTCTGCATTTGAGGCATCAGACACCGCCGTAGCTGTCGTCGTGGGTGGAGCTTCGTCACAAGCAATTATCTGTTCTACTCTTGCTCCTTGGGTGGCATCGCTTCCTTCATGTGGCACAGTGTTGTGTGGCAAGGGTTTGTCATTTGCTTGAGGCTTTCGCCCATTCTTTTCTGCAGGAGGCCATTGCTTCTAGGTTGGAGGCCATCGCTCTTAGGTTGGAGGCAATCGCCATTAGGTTCCCTATAGTGGTTTCTTAAAGTTTTGTTGCATAGTCTTTCAACTCATTCGAGCACATAAAGAGAAAGCCGTGGGAGGGAAGCCACGCCGCTGTTCAAACCGCCGGGGGGGGCAGTTGACCTGACTACAAACGCTACAACTCAGTACAACACTCGGTGTTTGTGGGAAGTTGGTGATTTGTATCTTGGTGGAAAAAATCACACTACGCCCGCAGTGGGAACTCTTGGACGACAAATCCATCTCTTGCGGATTGCGGACCTGTCCGTATCTTGTTGAGGGCAGTGTCCACATTTTTGTGGCCCGAGACGACAACCCGAACCTGGGATGTTCGCGTCGGGCGTTGGAAGTGTGAAGGCACGGTTTATGATTGAGCGGCGGTTGTTCTTTTGATCATGTTCTTGCTTTAGACCTTTTTTGTGTTTTTTTGTTTTTTCTTTATATAGATTTTGTTTAGCTGCGTCTTTTCTTTTCTTCTTCAGACCCATTTAGACCTCTGTTTATCTTTGTCTTTTCTATTTGCTCTTCAGACCTTCTTTTCCTTTCACTACTTCAATACGTATACGTGGGGCCTTGGAAAGTTGAGCCACGGTTTATCCCACACATTTGGTTCTTGAGCTAGATGCGCTTCTTTTGTGCTTCCATCTTGAACCGTTTTACGAGACTGTCCATTTACAAAGACACCACATGAAGTATGAATCCGCTTCGACGTTGATCGCGATTCACCTCTTGATCTAGAGAAGGTGCCTACCATGTTCCTGAAGTGACATATAACATACTGTGCAAGAGACTGAGCGCAAAAAAACCAACTGAGTTCACGGCCAATAGTGGTATCATGCCAGTATATTTCCTCGGGTTGAAGGACGAAACAAGCGATGAGATTGATTTCATAAAATGGACCAAAGAAGAAGAAGAAGAAGAAGCCAGGAGCTACTAGTAGCGTCCTTGCTCCTAGTAGCGATGCCCTTTGCTCCTAGTAACGTTAATGGTTCAAGCATGTGATGGACCAAAGAAGAAGCATGTCTTCGTGCATCTTCCTATCTTCGTTCGGGACAAAGGAACTGTTTCAGTCTGGTACCGGAGGAGAAACCTCAGCTGAGCAAGCCTAAAACCCGCCAAGGCAATGGCACCAAGCTACAATCAAAGGTAAAACTCTAGGAAGTCTTTGAATGCTTCCGCTTTTGTATGTTTTATATAAAAAGCGTGTTGGCTGCGACTAGCTAGGTACTGGAGGCTAGAAAGTCGCACGAGGCAAGGATTGGAAATAGCTTCAACATTCTGCAGTGGTTGCTGTATTGGTGCATCTTTGACTTCTTCTTCCCTGTCTCGGTGCTTTTCTTGTCTTCATCTTGTCCGGTCTCATCTTCTTGAGTTTCTCTGGTCTCTCGTTTTGTCATTTCTTTCTGCACTTACCTTTCTTTTTCTATCATTTTTATCATTTCTCATCTTCGTTCAGCTTCTCTCCTATCTTCCTTTTATGTTGCTTGAAAAATGTGTTTTCCTCTTTCAGCCTGGCTCCTTCTTTGTCTTCTCTGTCCATTTCTCCGGATTGGCCCCTCTGGTCAAGCAACTGTTCTCGGCATTTCTTGTCCATGAGCCAAGACCGGAAGTCCGCTCGACTGTACGAAGCCAAATTCCGCTGAGGTCGGAATTCCTCAGCGGTTTCAGCAAGAAAAAAAATTAAAAGGAAGAACTAAAGTGACTAAAGCGATGGCCTCCAACCTACTAGTGATGGCGGCCTCCAACCTAATTGCGATGGCCTCCAACCTAACCGAAAAACAATAATGTATAAAGGTCGAAAGAAAAGAATTGATGAAACGCTTCTAGTAACAAGTGCCACGCTACTTGAAACAGGTGCCTTACTAGTAGTAACAAGAAGCTACCAATTACAATTCTAATTAAATCAACTTTCGCGACTTTCCCCGGAAACTGACCTCCGACAACGGTGTAAGTCTTAACGGCTCCCAGAGCTCCTGGAGACACATCATCAAGCTGGTCACATCGATAAGCCGAGGTAAGAGCAAAGAAACATCGCCCAAACTAAGAAGCAAAAAGAGTTCAGAACAGCAAAGAAACACAAGAAAGGCAAGGAGAATTGTGAAGACTAGAGAGCAAACTTCTTGACAAGTCTCGCTTGCTCTGTTGGTAATATCATTGAACTTGTCGAACTTCACAACTTTGAACCTTGGACAAGACATGAAATGTTGCGAACACTTGAAAGAACAACTGACAAATAGCTTGGAGAATTATTCTCCGGGGTGTGGGCGTGTGCTTCTTGTCAAGGCTCATGCCATCCAGAGCCTGCTGGGCCTGAAAAATGAGCAAACGTGGCTGTGGAAGAACACATCTTCGTGCAAAACAAAAGAAATGAGAAGGGTAGGAGCAAGGACGCTACTAGGGGCTCCTGGCCTTACTACTAGGAGCAATGTTCGCTAC